GATATGTTTATATAAACATTGTAACAGTAAGGCTACTGACGTGACTGATGTGTTCTACACTCTGTACATCATCGACGAGATCCATCTTATGTGTAACGACGTTTCAATCATCGTCAGAGAAAATGGATACTGATATCAACAGAGGCAACTTTGCTAGGTGGATCTCTGGTTTTGAGTATTTATGATTCTCTGAAGCAGCAAGGCGACTAAGTTATAAAATGAACATAAACATAGTTGATTGTGAACATGCTTTTTCTTTGATGTCTAAGAATTCGGCTTTCCTATGATTTTGAAGCTTCACTTCCTCTGCCAAGTAAACCATTATTTCATCCGGAAGAAAATGCTTACTCTGGTTTGTTAAGACTGAGAAATAGACAGGCCTACCGTCAGAAATGTCCTGGTTTATTAAGACTGGAAAATACACAGGCCTACCGTCAGAAATGTCCTAGTTTATTAAGACTGGCCTACCGTCAGAAATGTCCTGGTTTATTAAGACTGGAAAATAGACAGGCCTACCGTCAGAAATGTCCTGGTTTATTAAGACTGGAAAATAGACAGGCCTACCGTCAGAAATGTCCTGGTTTATTAAGACTGGAAAATAGACAGGCCTACCGTCAGAAATGTCCTAGTTTATTAAGACTGGAAAATAGACAGGCCTACCGTCAGAAATGTCCTGGTTTATTAAGACTGGAAAATAGACAGGTCTACCGTCAGAAATGTCCTGGTTTATTAAGACTGGAAAATAGACATGTCTACCGTCAGAAATGTCCTGGTTTATTAAGACTGAGAAATAGACAGGTCTACCGTCAGAAATGTCCTGGTTTATTAAGACTGGAAAATAGACAGGCCTACCGTCAGAAATGTCCTAGTTTATTAAGACTGGAAAATAGACAGGCCTACCGTCAGAAATGTCCTGGTTTATTAAGACTGGAAAATAGACAGGCCTACCGTCAGAAATGTCCTGGTTTATTAAGACTGAGAAATAGACAGGTCTACCGTCAGAAATGTCCTGGTTTATTAAGACTGAGAAATAGATAGGCCTACCGTCAGAAATGTCCTGTTTTATTAAGACTGAGAAATAGACTGGCCTACCGTCAGAAATGTCCTGGTTTATTAAGACTGGAAAATAGACAGGCCTACCGTCAGAAATGTCCTGGTTTATTAAGACTGGAAAATAGACAGGCCTACCGTCAGAAATGTCCTGGTTTATTAAGACTGAGAAATAGACAGGTCTACCGTCAGAAATGTCCTGGTTTAATAAGACTGGAAAATAGACAGGCCTACCGTCAGAAATGTCCTGGTTTATTAAGACTGAGAAATAGACAGGCCTACCGTCAGAAATGTCCTGGTTTATTAAGACTGAGAAATAGACAGGTCTACCGTCAGAAATGTCCTGGTTTATTAAGACTGAGAAATAGACAGGTCTACCGTCAGAAATGTCCTGGTTTATCAAGACTGAGAAATAGACAGGCTTACCGTCAGAAATGTCCTGGTTTATTAGTTCATTTTTCATTAATGTCGTTCACACAAATCGATGACGTCTGGGCCTCGTCACATCATATTCAAATCTGACACCATCACACCAAAAACTGTCTAATCCCACACATGACCAATGAATCAGTTTGTCCAATAAGACACCATTCTATATGCTATGTTGAAAACACAGAATTCCTGCGCTTTATATGACCAAGAATGATGAAGTATCCTAGTATTGTAATACTTTGGATTTTTTTAATGGTTAGGTGATATGACGATTGGTTGGAATAAAGTTCGTTTACTGACATTGTAAAGACAGACTGTTATGTTCTTGTGTGGAGTATAGATTTTGTAGAATATTTAAGCGGGTCTCTTTTCCGGACTCGGTGTTGAAGAGAATGGGATAGGTGTCAACGGTACTTTCTGTGTTTGATTACGAAGGAGAGTTGTGTGGCGTGATCTTTTAGCACAACCGTGTGATATTGCTAGAGTCAATAACATATTTGGTAATTATAGAATCATTGATAAAGTGGTTTATTAAGACCCAAAAAATTTCTAGAAATATTGATAAGGGAAAGTAATTTTGTAACAGCATCGTAATTTAATATTGTCACTCAGACCCGAATCAACATCAATATCTCCATGCCTTTATAGAATGATAAAAGATTGTGAAAATATACCCCGCCCCACCCCTATTCCCATCACCTTATCATGTACAGTAATGGGTACAGTGGTACGACTCGTAATGACATTTACGGAGCATGAAGAGACACTCTGTCTCCCAGCTCCCCAGGAGAAACAGAAAACATTTTTTATCGGCTGTTTTCATGTCGGTACAGCATTTCTACGAAAAAAAAAACAGCAACAGATTCATTAACATAGTGTAAATTTAGACAAAATTAAAACAAAAAATATCGACAAAGAGGTTGAAAGTTCTATAGGACAAAAACAATGTTTTCACGGGTAATGTATGCAGTTGATAATATATGACAAAGCTCTAAGGTTAATACGTACCTTCCCTTGACATATCGACGAAAACATGGTATTTGTAATAGTAAGTACCTATTGATAAGATAGATATTATTCCCTGCATTTTGTATCTCACAGTCGGAACGTGTCATATTTCCTTAATTGATACTATCACTATTGTCATTCCGTTATTGTTGTTATCTTCCTGCGTTTAATTGTTTTTGTACTCTTTATTACAACGTTTTACAGATGTGTCTTTCATTTCACCAGAAGTGAAATCTAAACCAAATTTTTTAAAACTCTAGTTGTACGACTAATTGAGCGATGTTGGCATTCCATGTTATTACATGTACAATGTTTGGCTGATATATCAATTTTCAGAGAGTAGCCTAGGAGATCTTCAAAAAAGGTGTCATTTTCAGAGTTGCTAGCGCTGCTACAATGCTGACTTCACCATATAAACGGGATCAACAATGCATTTTAGTTCAGATTACCAAGTATCACAGAAACAGATGAGTGCTGAGCATACCGCTGTACAGAAGCAAGACTTGCATTTTCTGATTTTCCAAGCAGAAAATATTGCTAGCACCAGCAATTTGTAGGCATTATGAGGCGAAACTAGAAGGTCATTTCAAACATTTTGATGAGCCCAAACACTAAGAGGTATTGTGCTATCCTTTAGACTGGTTTGTGAAGGATATTGTTTATAATAGTCATATCGTGTATAAAATACATGTAACCTACTTTCCACTTGTCTTGTATGACTGACCTCGTCAATAAACTCGCACTGCAAACTTATCGGTCTGATTGTGGCGTTAGCAGTCACAATTCACGTGACATCTGATGTCAGACCCCCCGTGTCAAACACGACAGCATACCGTCCGTAATTAGACAACGTAATTAAGATTGATGACAAAAAAATCGTAAAACAAGACGAAGAAAAAACTTAGTATCTATCGTAATTGGAGGGAGAGAATCGATATGTGGTCTACATTGGCAGCGTCATGCTGTCGAAGCTGACAGACCAGTCTGATGGCTTAGGTAAATACAGCCATAAGCCTCTCAAGTACACTTACGGTGTAATTAAGAGTCCGTACTAACATCAGTTACAAAATCTAGTCTTTCTCGCCTGACTTAATGAACGCGTCGCAGGAACACACAACTACATTTTTATACTACTGCTCAAATCTTCAGGTTTTTTTGTAACAGAATCTGTGGATAATTAAAGAAAAATAGTATACACAGAAGTGTGCATAGATTTTTTGTGACGTAACTGAACCTGTATTCTAATTATCGTGATTACATTTTTTATTGCTTTTATAACATTCTTTGGTAGGATCGTGGTAAGATCACGTGCTGTGGTAGGATCGTGGTAAGATCACATGCTGTGGCAGGATCGTGGTAAGATCACGTGCTGTGGTAGGATCGTGGTAAGATCACATTCTTTGGTAGGATCGTGGTAAGATCACATTCTTTGGTAGGATCGTGGTAAGATCACATTCTTTGGTAGGATCGTGGTAAGATCACATTCTTTGGTAGGATCGTGGTAAGATCACATTCTTTGGTAGCATCGTGGTAAGATCACATTCTTTGGTAGGATCGTGGTAAGATCACATTCTTTGGTAGGATCGTGGTAAGATCACATGCTGAGTAGGATCGTGGTAGGAACTATTCTGTAGTAAGTGAGTGGTAGGGTGTTTTTGTAGCAGGGTCGTGGTAGGTATGCTGGTATAGGGTTGTGATAATGAGGTTATACCAATAACTGTTGAACAAAAAAGGTAAAGTCTGTATTTGATACGAAACATTTTGTATTATCTGATGGATGTATATTCATGAGAGCAAATATCACAAATATGAAATATTTATAAATTCAATATTCTAGAACCAACTGACTTGAAGACACTAGTACGGTTCTGGGTGACCAGTTAGCCAATAAATACCTCCATAAAACAGTCGAAAAAGTGTTTTCCATCGATAATGCATGAACAGTTTCTCATTAGCCATACACTTTTGATGTTTGCTCTGTTTTGTAATCAACGTAGCCCTATTATACGGTCATGCCACCGACAATCCGTGACATTTTAATAGTGAACTTGTCCCGTGAGGTAGATTACAATATTAATTAACGTTGAAGTTTGATATCGATTTCTTCTCTACGTCTTCCGAAGATGAAATTAATTTTTCTACAGTACACAGTACCACCATTCTGATATCAACTTTTAAAGATTGCTCAAAAGCCGTAGGTGATGAAAGAGAATAAAATCGTCTGACATACAAAGCACTTCCCAATACAATTCCCAGAAATCATTTACGCTATTAATATAGGGTTTGTGTGCTGGTCAAACATTGTCTTATGTATCAATTAGTAGATTAATTCTGTTCATGAAATCGTATTGTAACACTGAGCGTTAATTGGTTGTAATGTAACATTAATACTTTCAGATTCCGCTATGACCCATCAGTGCCCCAGGTGAATGAAAAAAAAACCCATCGCAGTGTGTTCTGTTAATATCTAGCAAACTACATCAACCTGACGTATCTCTTTCCATGGAGAAATGAGTGACGTGGGGATAGCTCTCCTGGTTCTCGGGATTTGCATGGTAGCGGCGGTAGTAATCGCCATTTTGATTCGTCTTTTTGGGATTTACAACGTCACTTCCTGTTTTGCCACTGGGGAGGAGAAAGCTGTATTAACACAACATGAACAGTATAACGGATACATGGTAAGTAAAAAATATTACATAATATTCATTAAAATGTTAACAACTTTATAAGTTCAATGCTTCAAATGTTCTAATGAAATTTAAAATTATATCGATAATGACTCAAAACTAGCATAGGAAGAATAGTTGTTTGGTGAATAAACAGGATTTTTTTATGGTTGCAACTGAAATATAAATTTTATGTAATATCACAAAATAATTTAAAACAGTTACATATTATGTATTTTCTAAAAAGGTTAGTAGATGAAATATCCATTTTTAATGTGACTTTCTTCAGAATTGGACAACAAATAAATCGAATTTGTGTGTGAGATGGAATCTATATAACAATTACATCAATGTGTGTAGTGATGGTGCTTTGCTAATCACAGGTGCAATCAGACAACGTCTGAAGATAAACCTTCAGTACTGTCTTAGGACTGAATGTTGGTGACGGCTCGGCATTACAAATGATGCATTGCCTGACGGCACGAGGTGACATGCACCAAAATCGATAACAAAGACAACCCAATTTACAATACCATCAACTTGTTGGCATTTCTTTCGTTTTCAAATACGACATTCTCTTAATCAACTGGTGTGTGTGACAAGGAATTAGTTATCCATTTAGTGAGATAATTTCCCCTGCATCAAATTGCACGTTTGGAATCTTGTTTGTAGAATTGAGAGAGTTTCAGTGGGATGCATTTTTCTACTCTTAAGTATTCTTATCGAACTATCATTGAAGATTCTTGATAAGATAAAGACTCGGACTATTGAAGCTAGACTTAGTCCCACATTACGATCTAGAGCTGGGTAAATCGGCGCTATAAATACCATATCATTGGAGAGGTAGCGCCATCACTGACATCTCACTAGAGATACATTACTGCATTTGTTGCCCTTGGTAAAAGACAACCAATCGATGAACAGTATTTATTACTCTGTCGTTTCCAAATGTTGATATTTACGAATACGTGTAACTTGGCGTTATCCTTATGGCTCTAATAAGATGAGTTACGTTGTCCATATTATAGCTAACAAATGCAGTCCAAGTGTCTTCTCACTTTTTGCTATCAGAACTTTGTTTCAATAGAACCACTTGCGATCAATCCTGCTGTTACCCGACTTCCATTGTTGTTTGTGTCATTTTATCCCAGACCATTTTGGAATATGTAAAAGGTTTTGTTGACTGTAATATAATTATCCACAATCCATTCTTACTTGAACATTCATCTTGGACATTTTTGGTTTCTACTTGGTATTAAATATAATCAAACGAAAAACACTTATTGGCAACAAAGATCACGCGATATCATCTAGCAATGCAAACTTCGTCAGGAGAGCTGAGTCCCCGTGGGCATGGGTCGGTTCCGGAGATAACTCCTCGTCTGAAATATGCGCCCATGGATAATAACCAGAAACTCGACAACAGCGCTAATTGAATTGGCCTGGATCGTGATTGCATGACAATATTTGTACGTATCTCAACGAACAGAGCTTTGAAACAAGACACTGTACCAAATTACATGCACATTGCGTATCAACACATTCGATTGCCAAACATAAATGTACAATTAAAACCGAAACTCTATTTGAAACGTGTTTAAGTACTTCGCGGTGAGGGTTTCGTGAAAGAACGTTTCTTTCCCAGACTTTCACATAAATAAAACAACATCGTTTATTCTTTCTTTATTCTATTAACACAAATTATCAGCTGTTTTGGACACGTGAATGCGTTCGATATTTGTTACGATGTACTGACATTGTTTGTTAATGTACCTTACTGCTGAAGACACACCTTCAAATACCCAGTGGGGACAATTTTTTTCACTATAAAAAGAAACTAACGCCTTTGCTCCTTGGTCCCTTTCTCCATACTGGTTTGTTGTTTTCACATACAATGTGAATCTATTGTACCTCCGACTTAATGCAGATGTGAGGAGACTTCTTCCATCTTCAGAACAATTTAATGCTTTGATCGTTAGGGCTGTTGGTAATTTACACAGTTTTAATTACACCATATTTATAGTTATCGGTGAGATTACGTAATCTATCAATTTAACTAAGCTAATATCTTTCACACTGTGACATGTAGCAAAAGTTTTACCAAGATTGTAATTAATCTATATGTATATTCATGTCTTTGCATATTCTAGACTTATGTATGTACAAGCAACATAAATACTTATCAATTTCTACCTTCCCATAATTAAAACGGTTTGATGACCCAAAGTTTAATTCTGATGTATTCGAGTCAGCATTCGTACTCCTGTAAAATGTTGCTAATCTGTCCAACTCATGAAATGTATTTGCTAACCAACAAGAAACAAACATGATTCTCCATTAATGCACCCACACATAGTTTCTATGTCTGTATGTGATAATAGCTTTTATTTGTTTAACATGAGCTCTATCTACAGTTTTTTCTAACGTTTTATTGCTATACGCCTGGGATAAAACACATATATATCCCGGAAAGTCAATACCCACTTTCATATTATTGATTATTTATATGACACTCCGGAGATGTAACCTGCTTTATGGCGAATTGTTTTCAGGTGATAAAACCAAAACCCGTTAAATAAACATCAACAACATATCTTCGTGTGTTTATACACTTGTTGTGAGGGCGTATCCAGGGTGTGTTTAGTATTTGATTTAACTGCGATGAAGTACGTGTTAGAAGTAAAGTTAATCATAAAGTTGAAATTTCACAAATTTCTTAATAAAACAGAAAGGAATTTCTACTACCCGAAATCGGTCGCATCATTAAACGATATCATTTCCGTATAAATGCATTGACTAATTCAGATAAAGCATGGAATTACTTTAATATATCGGATAACAAACCATCGCCCCAAAAAAAAATTCTATATCCCGTATTTTTTTATCGCAAGGTAGATTACCAGTTGTAATTATATTTCTTAATTGTGAATCATTATTAATATATAGACATATTCGATTATTTTCTTACTTGGTGTTATACAGGTCAACTCCGAATCAGACTTTGTTCTGGACACCAGTGGAAAGTTTGTGCAGTATGATACCATCCAATCTGATCCCAACTACGCGCAGACTGAAACTTACTCACCACCTCGCAGTTACTCGCCTCCGCGACAAGAAGAAAGTGCCCGCAGCAGTCCGGTGTCCGTCGGTAAGAAGCAGAGTAAATTGACATCATATATTTTAATGCATATTTATTTCATCGTCCTTCCTACAGAGTTTTTCAACTTATACTTGCTAAGTAGTTTTAACGAAATACAAAATCTATATTTAATTGAATTCATCATATAGTCAATATTTTGTTGTTGTACTGTTATGATAAACTCACATTTTAACTAAGTGTAGGTTAAATAGCAATACTTATCATTTACAAATATAAACAAATTCTCCCCGTTTTAATTTCTGCGGGCATACATGTTTCAATAATATATTAAAAATGTAGTCCATATGGGCAACTCCAGTGGAGAAAAAGAAAGAAATCACTGGGTTCTTCAACATGCTGTTCCAGAAGGTATTCTATCTGTCCATTTATTGCAAGCGTTGCCACATATAAGTACACCAATAACGATCAAACTTATCATGTATAACAATGGTATTATCAACAGGGCCATAGTCATCATGTTATCGAATCACACCGTATCCCTTACTACTGTTTGTAAATCCTCTGGTAGTTACATATCGACTGGTAACTGAAACACCAAACATCAATTTTCACTGGTTATACATAGGGAACCAATGTCCAAATGTACTTACCAACACGAAAGATATGTCTCATAGCATGTTACATGTAGATTACCAGTGTTTTACCATGTATACTGGAACTATTTGACCAGATTTTCTCCTTTTGATTCCGTTAAAGCCTCCGAGGTGGAGATACCTCACACGATACGGAGAGCAGAGTCATGCGATAGTGTTGCCTCGGACTCATCAGTACTTGAGATGCAACCGGATATGCCGAAGATTGGACAGCTGGAATTTGCATTAGAATACGACAGGTTGGTCACTTCTAACTCCCCATCTGGCAAGTGACTAGTTACCATAACATAGTTTTAGACACAAACCGAATAGTCAATATGTTTTTATATTCGAAATTATTGATTTGAAATAGTTACCTGCTACGAGGAAATCCAATGTTTCTTGATTGTCTTATGTCAGTCAATAGCATACTCCCCTTAAATTATAACAAAGAAATATGTATATATAATCCAAACAGACTTTATATGCCTGACCGTTTAAATATTCCATGTCAAATTACGTAACAGAATTAACATCCCCATTTGTCACTAATCTGTGTATTAGACACTACTAGCAACAGACTGAACACCCCATTTGTCACTAATCTGTGTATGTAGAATACAATACCAGCAACAGATTGAACATCCCCTTTTGTCTCTTATCTGTGTATGTAGACACTACTAGCAACAGATTGAACATCCCCATTTGTCTCTTATCTGTGTATGTAGACACTATTAGCAACAGATTGAACATCCCCATTTGCCTCTTATCTGTGTATGTAGACATTACTAGCAACAGATTGAACATCCCCATTTGCCTCTTATCTGTGTATGTAGACATTACTAGCAACAGACTGAACATCCCCTTTGTCACTTATCTGTGTATGTAGAATACATTACTAGCAACAGATTGAACATCCCCATTTGCCTCTTATCTGTGTATGTAGACACTACTAGCAACATATTGAACATCCCCATTTGCCTCTTATCTGTGTATGTAGACATTACTAGCAACAGACTGAACATCCCCATTTGTCACTTATCTGTGTATGTAGAATACATTACTAGCAACAGATTGAACATCCCCATTAGTGACTTAACTGTGTATGTAGAGTTTACTAACATCTCTTTATGGAGTTATGTCATGCCTTTTTCATGAGAATAAAGGATAAGAAAAGAAAGATACTTGTATATCTTGCTTTACGATCTCTTTGAATCTTGTTTTGAATATGTCACTGGCGATCTACTGAATCAAGTGCTTAAAAATTCTATTGGTTAAACGTTTTGTGTCATGCAAAGTCAGAAATACATGTTTGATGATCTGTGCCAGTAAAATAATACCTTACGAGAAAAGGAGATAAATCAAAATGGCTGTAAGTAGAGAAAATAACGACTCTTGTTCAAGTAAACAAAGGGCAAAAACTGAAGAAGTGTCGGTTTTATATATGTGCTATTCATTCTGTATGGCTTACTTTAAACTACAACAATATTGATATTTAGTACTTGTTTATTTGGCGAAACATCAAAACGTTCAACCTATACACTCTGGAAACCCTACATATACACTCTAGTAATCCTACCCATGCACTCTAGTAATCCTACTCATACACTCTAGTTTTCCTACCAAGACACTCTAGTAGTCCTACCTATACATTCCAGTAATCCTACCTATACACTCCGGTAATCCTTATAACGTTCCTGTTGCGCCAATTGCCAGCAATAAATGATATGCCATTTTGCATTTTGCAAATGTCTTTACAATGGACCTGTCGTACAGTATCCATGTTTTTTTAAAGACGTGATCACGTTTCTGATCAGTATCTTGGGGAAATAGACACTTTCAACTTAAATACATAGTTTGTCTTTCAGTTTTGAGGATAACGATGTACGACTTCACGTAAAGTTGTTTTACGATATTTTTGTACGTGTATCTGTATTTCGTTAAATATCTACAAGAACCTAATTAAAAGGTTCCGTTATACACTCAGAAAACTCATGACTAATACACTTATTTTCCATTTCATCTCATTTTTTGTGATTATTTAAATAGGTTATCCGTGCGAAAACTTGTCGAGTGTGAATCAGCTGTGTAACTATATGTATAACATTTGTTTAACGATGGAGGAACATTCTGTAACATATCTTGATTCATGTTTGCCTGATCACGTGATTAATCAGAGTGGTACTAGATATATATATATTATATATATTCTCGCTGTAAAGAATGATACTTTGGCACTTACTTTGCTAGAAAGGCATATTTTCATTGTCACCTATTTATAGATTGAAATAACAATGGAATTGGTTTTAATACCGTTGTAAATATTTGTATTTGACAGAGAAGTATCTGAGCTCGTGGTCAGTATCATACAAGCGCGCGACCTGACACCTAACCAGTACTCAGGGACATTGGACACTTACATCCGAGGTATCATGCAGCCAGATACAGACGCAAAGTTCCAAACAAAGGTACAGAATCAGTGTTACAACAGGTTTCGACCTTACTGCTGTCTCAGTATCTTACGCTGTTATTTTAAAACGTACATAATCAATATTACAACAGGATTCGGCCTTACCTGTGTCTCAGTATCTTAAACTGAACCAATGTTACATCAGGTTACGACTTCGCTCTCATTATCTTACTCGTTTACATCAAGAGAGTTGAACGATGTATTCCATATCGTGAATCAACCACAAAATAAAAACAACCCTTTGTTGAAATATTATTGCTCCAATATAGGAGATTCCCACAAATCAACGATGTTGTCTCCTTTTCTTCTCATGGTAAATATGTAAACCGACCCAGGCGGATGCAAGTTGAAGTACTACCTGTTGTCAATATAGTGAATGTAAGAATTAGCATGTTCCTCTGCCGTTACTTTATTCTCATGCTAATCAGGTTTATATTTATTTTAAAACAAACTTTTCAATGTATTATTTCCTTCTCTGCAGCAACTAAAATAGACTCTAGCGATCCGACGAAAAACACTGGCGCCACCTATTCAGAGTAGACATGCTAATTTGATAACATATATACCGAAAGGGAAAGGTCCATTCCCGAGTCGCGCTTATCTTCGCGAGTAATCCGGGACTAGCAATCAATAAGCTTAGATTTATCATGTTTTCAGGAAGTTGGTAACACGCAATATATAGATAGTGAAATCTGTAAGCTAGACATAGGTGAAATACCATACCGTATAGCTAACTGGACGAAGCGTTTGCCTGACTTGGAAAACTAACGATCTCCTGACTTTTTGACTTGTAGATATATCACACTTCTGACTTGTAGACCATAACAAATCAAACTTGTAGACCATAACGCACAGCTGTCTATAGGCCCATATAAAACACGCCTCTGACTTGTAGTCCAAAACCCATATTTGACTTGTAGACCATAAACACTTCTATCCTTTAAGCCATGACGCATATCTGTCTTGTAGAAAATAACACACATCCATCCTGTAGACCATAACGCACATCTGTCTATAGACCCATATAGAACACACCCCTGACTTGTAGACCAAAACACATATTTGACTTGTAGACCATAAAACACTTCTGACATGGAGGCCATGACACACATCTGTCTTGTAGACAAAGACACGTTTTTGTTTTGTAGACCATACCACACATTCATCCTGTAGACCATAACACACGTCTGTCTTGTAGACCATAACACACGTCTGTCTTGTAGACCATAACACTTATGTCTTGTAGACCATAACAGACGTCTATCCTGTAGACGAAAATACACTTCTGTCTTTCAGTCCATAACACATCATGTCTTGTAGACCATAACACACCTAGCAAACTTCTGTTTGTAGACCATGACACACATCTGCCTAGAAGATCATTACAGACTTTTTGACTTTGTGATCATAACAAACATTGAATTGTAGACAATAATACGCATTCGATTGGAAGTCAAAGCATACAGGCTTGGAGATCATAACATGCATCTGACTTGTAAACCATATCATACATTAGTCTTGCACAGAGTCTCGGACCATACATTATGTCTGCGTTAGATATAACAGGTATGTAATTTAGAAAACATGATATATGCATTAGAATTCTTGACTATGAGAGCATAGTATGTTAATCGTTGGAAAATATCATATGTGACGGAGGAGAACACAGATATCCAGCTCACTCTAACCCCAGAGGAACCATTACAAAAAGTTGTTTTCATGTTAACCGTTGTATCAAATACTTCACCTGAATCCTCAAACAAGGCCATCATTGTCTAGTTAGCATGCAAGAACTTCTTTTAATAAAACTATTTCTAGATGCCGAAATGTTTCACGAATGAAGTTTTAGAGATGTATACTTAATGCTCAAATGTTTCTTTAAAATTGGTTTACCAGATGTGATGTGATACTTCCTGTATTTAGTGTCGTTATCGGAGATATAAGCAATATCAAGTATATCAATCTTATTATGGTTAAAATTTCTAAATAGGGGAATATTAGTGATGAAAAGCCTTTTAAGTGTAATAAAAGTCATTTTGATCATCAATTAGCAACTATACACAGACGTAAGACGATTTCTTATATATAAAAATGTCTACCCACTTTCCGGACTCTTTGATGGAACCACTCGATAATTAGACTTGTGTATCAGTGTTATTTGCTGCCGACATTTAATACAATTTTTAACGTCATTCCACTTACACAAAAGAACAATTTTGCTCTGTTACGACTTTAAACCTAGCTCGTTACATTGAACAATTTGTCTAGAAGTTTTAAAACGAATATATTTTACGTGATCTTTAAACAAAGTAAACTACAGTTGAAGCCGTGAAATTCTGGTCCAGCAAATATTTTCTAAGATAGGCGATGGTAGTTTATGACGACGACGCTTAACGCCTACATTGCCTTGTTATAAATAGTCAGCTTCAATGCCGATCTTGCTGATTGCAAGGCTGCAAGCAGAGGGAATCGAAACTTCTAGTGAATATACAATTAAGATGTAAACTGTTTTTTGTGTAAGCCTCCAATGTTAACTGATAACAGTTAATAAGGCTGCGGTTCCTGTAATCAATACTTGTGATATATTGTTTTAACCGGATTTTTTTCAATGCAGTTTTATGACTTTAAGTCATGTTGATCGAATAGACACATGGCTCGATTATGCTGTCTTTTTTGCGGTCGTAAATAAAGTTGCCATATTCGTTGCATTTTCTGGAACTCTGTAACTTATTTAGTGTTTCTGGAGAGACTGTTGATATTGATGTAACTCACACGTGTTTCTTCCGGAGCGTCGCTCCTGCTAGGAAACATTAAATTAAGTGCATGTAGAAGATAACAAATCATCAAACGTTGTTTCTTTCACCATTTACTAACAACGCCTGTATGCGTTTATAATGAACATTTAATGCGTTTCTGATGTAAATTCCAAGCAAAACCGAGACCTAAAACACAAATTAATTGCAGTGATTGATTTGTAAATCGATATGGTATACTATTTTGTTGGCATGCCTACACATTCTGTAATGTGATTAGAAGGAGCTTTGGCAGCAGCTAGTCGCTACAAAGTGATCCGTAGAAGTATGATGAATATGTCTCATCACATCGGTATTTACTATTGGTTAATACATTAATGTATTCCTTCAAAAATCATCAGCTACATTCTGATCCATAAAGACATTTTAAACTAAGTATGAGATGAAATGAATCATTCATGTTCTGATCCATAAAACACTGTATGAATGTCGTTAAAACACTGTAGGAACAGCTTGGTGTAGTATGTGTACACATATTCGTGAATTACCTGACCCTTTCACTATATTAATTTCTATCAATTATTCCTCAACTAAATTCGTCGATGCGCTGAAGACACTTACCCTTCTGGAACACCTGATGTTACTTGTAATCATTAAACAATTTCATGCTAATGAAATTTGTACTAAGTCCAACTTCCGTTAGACTCGCTTAAAACCTAGGCATTGAAAATAATATCTCACTTGACGTCTTCATAAAAAAGTCAATTCAGTTATCAGATTTATCAGCGAACGTATTTCAGCCTCAGCACAAAATGCGTATTAAAGTATAAAAATGGTTTTATGAAAACAGGTCGGGTGTCCTTGTAAATATTTCTTTTGTTCATATTTTACCCTTGTTTCATCGAACGTGAGGTTCTTATTCATACAGTAAACTTCGTGAAAGTTTATATATAGTTTAGAAATTTCTAATTTTATGCATTTGTTTCCGTTTCGTTTGTGATCTAAACATATTGTTTGATGAAATAATTAAGCAATATGATATACATTGTTGTTTATAGATACAGAAGAACTCGACAGACCCCGTGTTTAAGGAGAGGTTTTTGTTTGGAGTAGAGCCTGAAGACTTGGATAGCAGGACAATTCTCTTTCAGGTTTTCTCTGTAGACAAGTACGCTCGTCACAAGGTCATTGGCGAGTCCGAAATCAGGGTAGGCGACATAGACCTGCGTATTCCTATCAAAATGTGGCTCAATCTCCGCGATATTGATGAGGTAAGAGATTGGCATCACCGACGGCGTATTGTGTACGTGTTGCAGTTGTTGTTTTCGGTTCTTTAGGCTTTAAATAGAATATTGATTACTTTCATTCCTATCCGTCCTTTTTCATTTTTCTTGTACATATATATATAAAGGTTTTACCTCATGAAGCCTGGTGTTTGTAGCCATCTTAACTGATATGTCTCTGTCTAGAACTGTACCTTTTCTCAATTTATTTCTGAATATTCTTTACTTAAGCATAGGAGTTAGTATCAGAAAGGTATCAGTCCTGTAACAGTATATAATGTTTAAAATATGTTTGGCTATATTACCCGAAGAAGCCACATAAAAATTTGCGTCAATATTAATATATTCGTAAAATTAACAGTGGTTCTAGAAGAAATCAAATTTAAAAGTATTCACAATTCGAAGCATTTACTCTGTCCAAAGTATTTGACTAATGTTGCTTTAATGAGAAATTGGTTGGGTTTATGCATGTACAAATTTGTTTCTGAGTTACAAAGCAAGTTTATATACAAATAATATATGATATACAAATAAGCATAAATAAATAAAACTTTTGTCATTATGGTTCTGATTCAACCACTTAAATTATGCATTCTCAATCATATTTGGCTGGTGGCAAAGACAATTTTATACGGAATTGCAATACATATTCATTGTCAGGAATCCTCAGACCACCAATAGCTGCATAGCTCATGTCACTAATCAGTGAAAAAAACGGAAAGTTTTAAACGGTTAATCAAACTGTCATGGAACGACGATCCTTTTTTTCCAATTTTATTTTTAGCTTTAATTTCACGTTAAACAATGTATCATAACAACACGATCGATATCTAATTTAAACACTCCCTCTCCCTATGCGGGCGACGCGGTAACACCTCCAGCTGACGACATGTGCAGAACAAGGGGAAGGATGGTGCCAGCAAACTAAGATAGTGTTGACATAGCATTAGACATTGGAATTATACATCTGGGTCATATTTGATTTGATAATTAAGAAAAGTAATTAGGACCTACAATTAGCTGAAATCCCTATTCTATTGTCCTCAGAAGACACCGAATTGTTTTAGCTCTATGGTCCCTGTTGCTCTTATGTATTGTTAATCTCGTGCTAAAATTGCTCCCCTACGGATTCAAATTTATAATACCCCATTAAACAGCTCAATAGCAAACAGTACATTTCGTACATATGTTAGTAGTGCTTGTGATCAAATTGTAAGTTTGATACAATATTTCTCTTGATGTTTTTGTTTCAAGTCACCCTTCATACAGCCCCTCCCTTTCAACATATCAATTACAATATGTTGGAAAGATTAATTTTATGTCATTCTTCATACAAGCTTTCAGCTCAAATTAACCTCGTGTTTGCCCGTGTAATGGCGTGGGCGCGTAGATTGTTCCAACTTCCTTTTGTCAACTGTATTTCTACTTATCAAAGAGATTCCTTCGCCGGTAATCGGAAACAAATCACTTAATTATGACGTCATTGTAATCCCTTCGCAACAGTATTTCCGGTAATCTATCAATATTGATTATCGAGCCTCCTCTCTTGGTAGGGATGTATCCATTTATAGCCTTGTGTTTGTTCATAAGTTTAACACAGAGGCTTTATACTTGTATGTGTCGTGTTCGTTGTCAGTGAATATGGCTAATCTTCAACGTGTCATAATTTTCACCATACTATTTTCATTGGTCATCAATTGGTGACAATGCTAAAATTAATATTCAATCCAGGGTTTCTGCATAAAAATTTGAATAATACCATTTAATTATGGAAAACATCAGCAAAAATTAGGGATGGAAATAATCTGCAAATAGTGAGATCAAAACTTTACGATATTTGTTTCCCTGACTGGAAAAATAGTAGTTGAAACGTGTATAGTACACGTAGGTTGAATAGAGTAGGGGCTGTTATTTCCGAGATTGTCGAGGAGAAACATAATATTGTTTTAGCAAACTGCAGTCTTTTTCATAATTTCCCGTCATATTAGTTTCAAGGTTTTGGTAAACCACGAGAAAATGAAACACCAAAAAATAAACATTTAAATTGGTGCATATTCAATATGAATTATTGTACTGCACATTTATCTAGATGTGTTATCGTTACTTCCAGTGTGATGCTATTGCTTTAAGTTCAATAGTTATCTATATTCATTTGCAGCACATAAGTAGTGCAAGTGATGCTCGATTAAACGGTTTATTGTTAAGAACAGTGCATGAAACCTTCTTCGGTTTGCTGAGGAGTAAATAAGCAGACTACCTGTATTTGTGTTTTGATAAGACTTATTAACAATTTTCTAATTTAACACGTTCTTTCATTGTACAGAAACCTACTGAATATGGCGACATTATGTTTTCCCTGAGTTATCTTCCCACTGCTCAACGTCTAACCGTGGTTGTGGTCAAGGCCAGGAACCTCAAATGGTGCGACAACAAGGATTCTGGGGGTGAGTATTAAATAAAGGAATCAGGTTTATCACTTAAAAGGTAAAGATATACAGTGTGAGTATTTATCAAAGATACCTAACAGTGGATGAGTACTAAATAAAGATTCTGGGTTATTTTTCTGAATTAATACAAACAGAGGGTTAATATTTCACTAAGATAACAAAAAAGAGTTAATACTTTATCAAGGTACTTGGGTAAGTACCAAATTAGTAACGATACAAAAGATGAATATTTAACAAAGAAAGCAAACAGGATGCTAATACTAAATATACGTACAGTGATAAGTACTAAATTATAATACAGAGGGTGAGTAACTAATAAGAAACTTGGTTAAGCACTGATGAAATAAAAAGAGGTACCGATACAAAGGTGTTTTTAAGAAACTATAGGTAAATATGAAGTAGATATAAGTAAACATAAGGTATAACTACTTTTTCAGATAAAGATACATAATGCGTGTATGAAACAGATAAAGATATTGGATGTGAGTTTCAGGCCGATAGAAGAACAAGGATGACTGCATAATAGATAAAGATACAGAGTCTATTACATACGTCATATATCTATTTTTCTTTATATTTGAGATGGACGATTTGATGATATCAGTCTAAATTCTCTTTATGTGGCATATAAGCATTGTACTGGTTGTTCCTTCATATCGAGTAGGCACCATCCTTGAATGACCTTCATCATTATGTTAATGAGACATTTACCGATTTAACCAAATCTCCTGTCTTTCCTCCGTGTAAACGGTCTGGAGCATCGAAATTGTTTGGTTACAAATGTGTGTCTTCTCCAAAGGTTTGGTTAGAAGACCTAACAAAGCCAAAAGACATCGAAAACTATTTACATTCTAACTGTCGTGTTGATTATGTAGGGTTGTCTACTCGTTAGGTAAACAAAGGATAAAGTAAACGTTGAAGAGCAAGAAGGACACGATGCTAGAAGAGGGAAATTAATATCAACAAAGCATGAGTTATACGATATAGGAAAAGGGACCGAATCTTGGTATTCATTGGAGATTACTCAGTAAATGAGCCAATTCTTTGATCAAGTGGTTTGAAATAACAAATATAACCAGATTATATCATTTCAATGCTAATATACATACAAGTGGATAATAATACATTCGAAAATCAAATAGATGTCAAAGAGTGTTCAATTGATAAATAGTGGAGATGTATTGATATTATAAGATAATTTGTCATAATTAGTTTATCAAAATCTAGATCAGCATACGAACGTAGATATAGCTCGTCCTGTGCATGAATGCTATTTCGAGTATGCTGACTTTGTAGTATTACTGTTATTCCCTAAAGTGGAATGAGAACTCGTATATATATACATGTAAAACCATCTGGGTTCCAAAGCTGATAAAGATGAAGGTACAAGCTCCGAGATTGACCAGTAAATGCGATTGAGGGCTGAGGATGGTGTGATTTACTTTGACACTTCCTACTACAACTGAGCACGCATGATGTTTTCCCATGATGCAGTATAGTAAAAGTGATTGTGGAATTTAATATATATCACGGGTATGGGAAACTCTGTTCCAACATGGCCACGTGGTTTGGTGTTTCCAGATGTTTTACTTGACTATTTCGATTTCCTAAATTCAACAAACAACAAAAAATACGAAAACGTCAATATAATCGTAATCTAAACTCATATTCAATCAATTTAGGGCAAAATATTTACAAAAAGAAAATTCAAACGGAGGCTCCTGAAAAAGTGAAAGGAAAATTAGACAATGTGACCCGGCAGAGTAAGCGCCTTCTGCTTGATCGACGACGCCCGCCAAGTAAAGCTTGGTCAATCAAAATAGGAAATGTCAGTTAACGACGGGAAAACTTATGAATATTTTGTTCCGAGATTGAAAGGTCACCAATTAAGCTCAACTAACACGCATAACTGTTCATAAAGTACATTCATTGCAACATATACTTGACATTTGTATGGAATAATGCGCTATACATATTCTCGATGCCAGAAAAAAAGGTTCACACACATAATTTGATTGTTAAGAATGACTGTAATACTTTTTGTGTATCTGTATTTATAATGATTGTTTGATAATTTTTTCGTTCTTGCTTCTCATTTTACAAGTGAAAATCTCTTCTTCTTTTTTTACATTCTCTGAGTTTGGCATTAAAGCTGACTTGATATTCAAATGTATACCTTCGTCGTTTCCCATGATTGTTCAACATGTCTGAGATCAGTGATCTGCACTTTTCCTGACATTTCAACAAAATGATGAATGTGGTGTAAAAAGAGCGAACCTTTACAGACCGTGTTCGCCTTTGAAATTGTAATTTCTATCTTGTTAACCTTATTAGTTTCTGCTTCGATTCTTGATGTCTATTACATAAACTTTATAGTTATGATTGCACGAAAGACACGTTATATCATACAACTGAGTTGTCCTTTCGCAATCTATATAGGAAGATGTACTAACCCCGTAAATTAATGAATTAAATAATGTTCATATATCTGATAATTTCCAAAGAATATCAAGCACATGTGTGCATATCTAAACATGGTACATACTACGTCCCCCTATCCGAATGAATTAGAACGTGTCATGCAGGTTGCCGCAAACATCAGGTTCTAACATTAAACGTTCACCAACAATGTTAATCACATGCAATCTGAAAGTGTTTTTAACACAAATTTAGAATTAGAGTAGAACCGAATAGTTCATTCAGTTGCATCAGATAGCTATTTCATCCTTCTGCGACGCGTTAGTGATATTAAGGGCAAAAAGGAAACCAAAATTGATAGTATGAAATATCTAACTCTACATGGGGAGTTACAATTGCCTCATAATTCAATAAATCACGTGATTCTCTTTTATCTGTGAAGGTTAGAAAAAGATCACATACAAGTATATATTCCTCGACTTAGTCACTATTCGAATAAACTAGAAAGTGGCATGCAAGTTACGTCAACCCACGTATACTAACAGTCCACTGGGAACAAGTCCACAAGTAGTGTTAATAAAGTTTAGATTAATAAATAGTATTTTCATTGTGGTTAATTTTAAGTATTCTGTTACCCGGTCCTTTACTAGTATGATCAGTATGAAATATTGACGGGATTCGACATGACTGCCAAGAGGTATTGGCTTGCAGCCCACTCCGACACAAATGAAGCCGACACGGAATGCATATTTCATTGTTTTCCTGATAAGACATTGGAGTTATATTGGTACTGTCCAGATTAGCTGATCCAGTCCATTACTGGATCCATTTAAGGTCTCTTTTACTGATAAACAAAACTTGACAATCAGGGTCAAATGCGTCGTTGTGTTTTGCCTTGTATTGCGTGCATTGTGTTCTAAACTCCATCACCTATTTTGTTTGCCGCAGTTTCTACTGAAGTGGAAAACAGTGTTCATTTAAATTCTCAAATCCTCTTGTTGTGCTAAGTGCGTTGATTGTATTTGCATGACATATGATAGGAAACCAATTACCTAGAGCGTAATGCTTTTCTACGGTGTGCAAAATATGCTCACGATATGCATCATCATCTGCGGTTTCTTGATTTTAAACTTAAAATTGAGCCACTTAACAAAATATTTTATTATATATATATATTTATATCACTGTTTTTAACACTGGAAAGAAACGCGTATATAACTGTTTATAAACTATATACGCAGCCTGCATAACTTGTCCATCCGTCAGTCTTCCTCATCAATATACACATACACTGTATATTCTATATTATACAACTTCTCCATCCCAATGGTAATCTTATTTGTTGCATAACCTGTTTCTTATAAATGTGTTTGTGCATATCTTTGTTACGTTTGCTGTTGAATTGAACTGCATTTACATTGCGATTTTCCTCGACGAATTAAGATGCCACTCCCTGAATACCAGGTCTTATTCCCTGTAAATATTCAAAAGGTCTCCGTGTAAATATTCCCTTTGTTTATGTTTTGACTTCATTTCGTCGAATTTCGAGTTTGGACTATGATTTTGTTTATATTCTTTTGATCGAATGGTATTCATCTCTGCCTTTGTCTACATTTTCGATTCATTGAACTATTTACGTCGGATATACTGCTTGCAATATACTGATATGTCCTTCCCAACAATGGAAGTGTCGTTACCGTCTTGAGACTTGTTCGCCTCGGTAATAATGGTTAGTTTCAAAATCATTTCTGCAGTTTTGACTTACTAATAACAACACCTTCAGGGGCAACTGATATTCCTATACTTTTTACGATGATAAAGTCCCCTGGGGTTTTATTTATATATGCTTTTTTTTCTTGTCCCAAATTAGTTGAGATAGACGACGCCTGTTTGCCGTTAGGGAAATAATTGATGGGGATGAGTCCTCGAATTGACGCTGTTGGATGATAATCGACTGCTATGTTCCATATCGGACCAGCAGATACAATGACCCGTGTCGCCATCTTTCATATACTATTGATCTAAAGTATTTAGGAATCGAATGCTTAGTTGTGTTACAATGAATAGATATGGAGGTATAATAAAACTACACGATGTATCTCTTATAGATGTTAATGCCCCTTTAATACCGTTGTGTAAAATGTCTTTCAAAGGAGAAGGTAGACAAAACATGCATCTAAGATCCAACCAGCTTAAATGGCTAAGTGCCAGACCTCTAAGCTAATGTTAGGTGCTCGATGGATATTTTTTTATTTGTGTTTTCAGAAGTAATATTGGTGTTACTGGAACGTAAAGGTTCTAATATTTTCTCATGGGAGCATCAGCGCCAGCGCAATGTTTTCTTCGAGACGAAAATGTATTGCTGAGAATGTTTCATATGAGAACACTGTTTGGGAGACAATATCCATTTATGGAGCACTTACATCTTAATTTCCTCCAAGAGGGAATAATAGTGGACCCATTGTAAAGCTCTGGCAGGACGATCATTGCTTCAAAATATAAGTGCTATGTATTCTAAATAGATGTAGGTTCTCGATAAACATGCCAATTTAACGCAACTAGAGAACTCTCTTATAGTCCTAAAAGGACTGAATTCGGTAGGCCTCCTCTCGTGGGAACACTCACTAACTTCATTTTCATATGTTCTATGGAAAAGATCCACAGCAAATTCCTATTCAGATGATTTTATCAGACTGCAGAAATTCAATATGTCAAGTTTCCTTTATTTCAAAGACAGTATTCATATTGTTTATTCAGTAAAGATGAATCATATTTCATTTTAATCATCGTATTTTCAAAGTGTGTGTGTGTGTGTGTGTGTGTGTGTGTGTGTGTGTGTGTGTGTGTGTGTGTGTGTGTGTGTGTGTGTGTGTGTGTGTGTGTGTGTGTGTGTGTGTGTGTGTGTGTGTGTGTGTGTGTGTGTGTGTGTGTGTGTGTGTGAGTGTGTGTGTGTGTGTGTGTGTGTGTGTGTGGTTAATCATTCTCTACTTTATCTGCTTTTGACTTATATGGTTAGGCGTCATTCTATGAGAACTTGTGTCCTAAAGTCAAGATCATACAAATTAATATCTGAGTTTGTGTATTCCTGGAGAATATATTAAGAAGGGAATTCTTCTCTGTTCTTTATTATAAGTATGCATGTTAATCAATTTCCAATTAATTGAAGTCCTACTTTTGAAAACAGAAATTAATTTTAAAGCAAGTTTTAAATAAATATCTAAATGATAACTCGATTTTCCTTTGTTAAAGAAGAATCCTAAAGCGAATGAAATACATGATGCGGTGCTAGTAATATGAAGTTCTCGTTTTTAGAAGAATTCTCAGTAGTTATTCATATATAGAGGACATACTGCTAAAGGTGATATGTTTATGACTGGTACATTCTCATGAAAAGTAGTTGGGGTACATTTAACGATAAAGTATTAGATGTAATTTTATCTCTTAGTTATCTATAAAACATATATTGTTAACTAGTTTAAAAGCAGCTGCAGCAGCAAAGGTAAAACTAGGGACATGGAATATCAACTTCACACAATGCAACCATTGATTGACGTTTGGGATCATACCCATGGTGGTGCTATGAGGGGATAAACCAGTATGTTTCTCGCATTACACTGTCACTGCTGTAACTATAGTGTCTACATGTTCCTTTAACAGATACGTTCGTGAAGGTGTACCTTCTACAGAATGGAAGGAAGGTGAGTAAGAAGAAAACGTCAGTGAAAAGACGTGAGCGACACCCGACATTTAACGAGGCGATGATCTTCTCTGTACCTGCCACGGCCTTACCCGTAAGTAAAACTGAAAATATCCAGCATTAATTGTCGTTATAATTCGTTCAGATCCAAGCTAACGTAAGAATGTATTGTCATCCATACTCGGTAAATGCGAATTGAGAAGATGAATTGAATTTTAGATGTACTTTTCATATACATGTATTTATTTTCTTATGTTTGACCTCATACATCATGAGTGTCGATTGTTATTCCTAATAATTCCATGAATTATATGCAATCATGCCGTCTAATTCGATATAATCCACGCAAACACAATATTACGTACATCGTTTTATCGTCTCTCGTGCAAAAAGGTCATTGTGGTGTCAATTGATCTAGGATTAAATCCAACGTATCAGGAGCTGGCACCTAAAATATCACGCCGAACATTGTGACGGTCGCATCCTACCTCTTCCACTACAATACAAATACCAACTGATAGCATTTGTGTTTGCAAATCATCAGTTCTCTCTAGCATTTTAATCAACTACTCATTTCCGTGTTTTATTTTGTTTGACACATGGGAATCAACTTCTTGATGGCAAAAAAACTGAAAACAGTTTTTTTTTCTCGTATGTTTATCGTTACTGAAAATAGAGTGGATATAGAAATATTTGAATCCATTCTATTGTAAAGTATGTGTTTGGTTTATCAATACTGGTATCTCAATGAGATTACAACAGAAATAGGAGGAATATACTTTCTATTAATCTCTATAATTTTATCATGATGTTTTGGCAGCAAAAGTCTATCCAATGTTTACTTTAACGAATTTGAGTTTTTTTCTGAAATGCATGATGTAATTACACTCATCAATCCAGTATTTTTTACCGCAAAAATACGTGGAGCTTTTGGTTGATAATCACACTAATTAAAAATGTTCTCTCCAACAGACTGTCCAGCTTAGGATTACTGTGTCTGAAGTGATCCCTGAGAACCGCACGCCATCTCTTGGCCACATCATAGTCGGAGCAAACACTTCCGGTACAGAATTATCCCATTGGAACCAAATGATGACGTCATTGAGGAAACCTATTGCTATGTGGCATTATCTGAGAAAATGATGACTGACGATTGAAGTGAAGGCATCTCTGTGAGATTGACGAAAACATGAAAATAAAATAAATATTTTCTCATAAAGATTAAAACCTTCATGTATGTAACCATAATCTGGGCATGACATAAACAAAATAAAATGTATATGAATGATTTTTTATACCGAAACACTATAGTATGAATTGCTGAATATTGGTTCTAATAATTTGATAATGTACCGATTGAATACAAAATTTTCAGTATCAATTACTTTCGAATTAAATTATAAATATTTATACGCAATGGGTACATAGCTTTGAGTAAGCAGACACGGGCTCCTTGTTTCATCCTTCATGGCATTCCTAATAAAACTACCATCTGCTGTTGCTCCGTATGGAATAACTATCATCCACTGTACTTGTCTGTGATGATATATACTTTTGTTGTTTGCCATCGACCGCCATATATCTTATTGTCTTAAAGCTTGCTTCGCACAGGTGCTACACACTGTTATAACATATATGTTTATAATTCCAATAGTAGGTAAGTGAAAATAACTACCATCCCATTCATGCTTACACAATGTGTATATATGTGTTAGTAAAAATCAAACAATTGAACCATATATATGATAAGCAACAAGAAAGGGAGATAACCTCCATTCAAAAGCAGAACATGTCCTGCAAAGCATAGAGCCCTAATCAGCATTCGTTATGTCCATATGTAGTCGACTTATGGGCAACGCCCAGGAACGCAGTGGCAATACAATTAGGAGTTAATGGGGTTTTGTTCTTTGGGTTTTTTTTCTCCTTTATATATTGTTGAAATTTTCGTAATTAGCATTCATTTGTGGACGTGTAGCTGTTTTTATTCTGTAGATATATGGTGAGTTTCTTATTGTTTCTTTGTTATGCTAATAGCATATTTATCTATATATATTTTGTGAAAAACCGTTAACTTGGGCATCCGTTAAAATGGACATGATTCAGAATGTTTAACCTAATATTACTTGAAATGTTTTGTCTTATTTATCAGGACTAAAAATTTACAGCCTTTAGAGAGTTTCGTGATGTGTCAAATTAGCATTTACAAGTATTGGAAGTACTTAAATGTTTATCACGAAATTTGTCAAAATAATTCCTGAACAAGAAGGAGATATTGTTCAGATGAGTAAACCAGCTTCTGATAGAAATTCGCGTAGGCTTTGCTGTCTATTGTCCTCTGCTTGTACCTCTATATTATCAGTACATTTGCATCACTGGAATGGTTAATCGTTAGTACGGTCGAGTGTAACAAATTGATAACTGTTATATCGACGTCTTAATGGTTCTTCAGGGTATGTTATTTGAATTTCTTCTCTTTTCCATTAATGTTTCGTTGATGTTTTCAAAGGTTTATGTAAACAAATCTGTGATTTTACATTATCCTGTTCTTGTTTATAAATGTTGATAGGAATATATGTATTTGAAATTATTTTTAAAGGCAAGAATGGACTTATGTGTTGAATGGAACCACTATCATTAAAACAGGTTATTGTGACCAACATTCATGTCTTCTGTTCTTTTGTATTAAACCCCTATCGGACGTAATGGAAACAAATTCTTTCCTTAAAGTAACCTGGACGTCAGTAATACATAGTTATCATTACTTGATATTGGCTTTATTTGAACGTTAACCACTCGAACTCAAATACTTTATCAGCTTAAAATGAGGAGAAGATATCCTGCTGATAATTCAAAGCAACTGAAATCAGATATTGAAGAAAAATTGGTGAGTAATAAAGAAGTATTATTTATAATAACGGTTTTTCGTATGCTAACTATTCTTTATCAGGAAGTTTGATAAGTAACACGCAATAGTAAAACAAATCAAGACGTCATTTTCATAATAATAAGTATATAAACAGCACAAGCTAACATATTGTGTGAATACCTAAAACTGTCAGATAAACTGAATAACGAAGATTTTGTATATTTGTACTAAAAGAGGATTTTCAAAAATAACACAAAAAATACCAACATGTTAACAGAATCCTAATTCCAACTCAACCTCTAAAGCAATATGAACAAATGTCAAGATTTGCATGGTAAATGAAAAAAATGCAATAAGGTGTTCCAAAAGGGCAAACGTCTTCTCCATTGACGACATCCACCATTTAAATCCCGGTCAATCCAAGTAAGTAATGCCACGTACAGAAAAGAAACCAAGTTAAACAATAATAGAATCACCATACATACGAACGAGCATCAAACACCAACTACATATCGAACAAAGATATTGTACATTTTCCGTTGAAACCATTACGACAACTATGAAATTTTCCAATATCATCATTATCTCGAGTTGTAAGTTTATTTGTCAGTTGTCGATATCTTCCAGAAAAATTGGGAAACAAGTCCTCGAATATCCAATCAGCAGCGAAACCTAAAAATGGAAATTTCACCGAAGAGCATTGAAATTTACGCTAATCATACAGCTTAGTGAAAACCTATCGCTGTTGTGGTGTAGAATAAAACAAAAGCTTGGTATTACAAGAACGTAAATGTGAAGATTTTCCATATTATATTAATTTTCTTTTCCAAAGACCACACTTTTATATTGTTGATATATATTTAAAGATTTTATCTATGAAAGTCATTTGAGAATGTTAAAGGTGTCTCTCTACGATAATGACATGACATATGGACGAGTCTCACAGTATGAGGAACGTCTGTGGGTTCAATCGGTTGTACATTTTCCGAATGGCATCTGCTCATAGACAGCTATAATAAAATGAAGGCGTTCCTTATTGTTTTACTGGTATTATATGCCAACACTGAGACTGGTAAGTAAATGTACATATAATCACATGGTCCGGAATGACATATAAAAAATAATGACATGTGACATTGATCATTGTCCTGTTGTCGTTGTAGAATATAAACACATATGTTGTATATATTTAGAAACAGAAATGCAGTGTGAAAGACCAGCAGACATTAATGTTACAATGACGTCATAAATTTACAGAACCTTGAGTTTGCGTGTCTGAATAATTTCGGAATGTGCTTTCCTGTTATTGAGAAAATCATGAGCTAGCGGCAGTGCATAAGGGCACGTTAAGGCAATTGGTTACTGTTGAATTCGTGAGGTTGTGGCACGGACGCGGCATTAGTCCAAATATATCCCTTCCGCATTTCCATTTCTTTGTCAAAATATCGAATTGTAGTCACAGCGTATTACATACACTAGAACTTGAGTACCCTGGTTTAAGTCCAAATGTTCCCAATGTAGATGTCTCTGGTTCTGTGTTTGATATCCTAAAATAGTGTAGATTATCTAACATACGATTAGTCATGGATGAAGTCGATGATATTGAGCAGTTCATTACTACGTCTTCAAAACATCGTTTGTGAGGCGATATCGTCGTGGCGGAGGACTTAATTATCTGTTGGTATTTCTTGGCCGGGAGGTTGGAAGCCAGAGAGTGCGAGTTTAAAGCCTTGGCAATGCTTGCATCCAAATCTGTCTTCCTATATCATTTGTGATATATATTGCATGTTTGCCTCCGTCAGCATACTACTACCTGATTGATTAAGCTGTAAATAAAATACTTCTTATACTAATATCTGGTAACAAATGCCTATTCCTTATACATGTATACAGTGTTTGGAAACTGTAGGAACGGCTGGGAGGGCTTCAACGCTAATTGCTACCTGTTGTCGAAATTTACGGCCTCTTGGAGTGAAGCATCGGTAATGTTTTATCATACTCATACACAAAAACAACAAGACAATACTGATATTGCAACAAAATCTGAATTCACACATAAAATCGAAGACAAGAGGGCAATATATATATCACGTGACCTTGAAATGAAAACATCTTCTGCTTTATCAACTATAAACACCATTCAAATTATGTTAGTCACAATAAGTGCATATAAAATGAGACGGTTTCAAATGAGAACAGCGTAATCACCAAGCTACTAAGATGTTTGGAACTTGGAAACAGAATATTTCCCATTCAGAACATTGTGATGATCCTAAAATGTCTCCAAAGATTTCTGTAAAAATGGCAGTCTGGCTGCTATTTTATAAAAGTAATATATTCCAAACATTTAGGCTATAACGGTATAACATTTTGTGAACCTTCTTTTTTCAAGGCCTTTTGCGCGGCTCTTCATTCACATCTGGCGGTGGTCCGGTCAGCCGATGAGCACAACTTCATCAAATCTATAATAGCTCACCAAACCGGTTGGTATCAGTAATGTTTTTTCTTTTATTTTTAAATAAAATTGTTGTTTGTGAATAACTGCTTCGGATAAATACGTACAAATCCATTATATTGTCATCATGTTCTGATACTAGTCAAAATATATATAGATACATGTATACATTAAAATAACTTCAAACAATACGTCGAATGAAATATTTGCGTTTTCATCCCTGAATCTTCATTATGCTTAACAAATCGTCTAAATCCATTATGTGAATTCAATCTTTATATTCGTTACAGTAAACAAATGGATTCAAAAGTGGCTCCCATCATTGATTTTATCTCGAATTTGATTTAAACGAGTTTATTTGTTCAATCTAACAAATGGGATTAGTCGCAGCTTTAAAATGCCTATCATTGTGCATTGATTTTCCATTGCTCTTTTGTCAGACATTCTATATCTGTTATCGATTAGTTTGAAATAGCCAACATATCTTGAAAGCCCATGATAAGTATTCAGACCGGTGTTGTAGACATTGCACAATGTATTCCGTAATGGTTCTTATCAACATGGTTTATCGTTGGCTCGATGTTTAACGAAGAACTGTACTTTAAAACAAAGAGTTGTACTTTCTTTATGCTGCTAGAGTGGAACACATTGAAAAAATCTAGCAAACAATTAAAACAACTACTCGATAAATCTTACATACCCACTCTTGTTATATGTTTCTTCTATCAGAATATTTCTTTTTCCTATCTATTCATACTCATATTCATTCTAAACGAAGGACGGCATCCGTTCTCTTGTTGACATTTGCTTTTCCAAGATACA